AGAATCGCTTGAACCTGGGAGGTGGAGGTTGCAGTGAGCCAGGATCGCGCCACTGCACTCCAGCCTGGGCAACAGAGCGAGATTCCATCTTAAAAAAAGAAAGAAAAAAAGGTTAAGTAACTTGCCAAGGATCCTACAGGAAGAAGTAGAGATGGGGACAGAGCCTTTTGGGACTGATACTCAACCCAGGACTGTTCCTCTGCCCCTGTCTCCCCACTCTGACCATGACCTGTCACCTGCCCATGTCTCTCCAGCACTATGCTGAGATGAAGACTAGGCTCAGACCTTCTGGGCCATTGGACTCTCTTTGGGGCATTTCTTTTTTTTTTCTTGAGTCAGAGTCACTCTGTTGCCCCGCCTAGAGTGCAGTGGCACGATCCTGGCTAACTGCAGCCTCCGCCTCCTGGGTTCAAGTGATTCTCCTGCCTCAGCCTCCTGGGTAGCTGAGACTACAAGCGCACATCACTACACCCAGCTAATTTTTGTACTTTTAACAGAGATGGGGTTTTGCCATGTTGGCCAGGCTGGCCTTGAACCCCTAACCTCAACTGTCCACTTTGGCCTCCTAAAGTGCTGGGATTCCGGACGTGAACCACCACAGCCTGCCATTTCAAGGATTTCTTTCTTGCTGTCTTTTTTTTTTTTTCCCAGACAGGGTCTGGCTCTGTTACCCAGGGTAGAATGCAGTGGTGCCAGCTTACTGCAATCTCTGTCCCCAGGGCTGAAGTGCTCCCACCTCAGCCTCCTGAGTAGCTGGGACTATAGCACAGTCACTATGCCCAGCTAATTTGTGTGTGTGTGTGTGTGTGTGTGTTTGGTAGGGATGGGGTTTTGCCATGTTGCTCAGGCTGGTCTCAAACTCCTGGGCTCAAGCAATCCACCTGCCTTCGCCTCTCAAAGTGCTGGAATTACAGGTGTGAGCCACCGTGCCTGGCCTCTTGCTGTCTTTCAGTGCCTTTGCTTGGAACCAGATAACTTTATCAGCATCAGCTGAATAAGAATCCAAAAGACCCAGATATGTTGCAACTTTGACTATTCCTGGCCTCTGTGAAGTGGAGATAATAGGAGATAATATTTATCTTGCAGGGTCTAAGGGTGTTGTCAGGATACAAAAAATCACAGCACCTTAACTGTGGTCCAGAGTGCTCAGTCCTAGTGGCTTTTCTTTCTTTC